TAGCTCTAAAAACGTGGCCAGTGAAACAGCGCGCGACAGATATTTAATCTGGAAGCCGATGCAGACCGCACCTTCCCGTTATTCCATTGCGGATTTACACCCACAATGACTCTTAGTGGCGGTCAGCGTAAACAGTAACTAAGTGTTATGAAAGCTTCACCATTGTAGTACATTGCTTTGTCACACGCACAACTCGAACATTACAGATTCTTTTGAAACTCCCCCGGCCGCTAGCAGCAATGCTGAAACATTTTACGGCATATGTGTAACTGCTGACTCTCAGCACCGATGGTCAGAAGATTGGGGGTCGACACTGTTCGTCGTTAGCAGTGCCAGTGGTTTGCTATAATTTGACTTTCCGTTTACACCCACATGGCCGGCCAAACCAACAGTTTCATCTTTTAAATACAGTCCACTGCCTTCGTGAGCATCACAACCACTTGACATCTGGTGGAAGTGCATTGTGGTCCATGTACCGAATACCACCCTCCAGCCTTCCAAGAGTCCGCGGGCATCACCTGTGTTGTTAGTGAAAAAGTATGCAAACTTAATTTTCTGTGTAGATTATCGTTCCTGAATAAAATCATGAAGAAGAACGTGTATTTTATCCCACGAATAGACGACACCATCGGTCAACTCTACAACGCGAGGCAATTTTTGGCGATGAAGCTGAAGTCCGGCCAATGGCGAATAGAATTTGACAAGAGAGGCCATAGAATGCCACCTTTATAACACCAGGCAGCCTCTTTTAGTTCAAGATCATGCTTTTGGTCTTTGCTCGACCTCCACGACCTTCCATCGCATAATGAAAGCTGTAGTGGCCGGCTTGAAGTGGCAGACTTGCCTTGTGTACTTCGACGTCGTTGTGTTTTCCTCACACTTCGACCAAGACCTCCAGCACCTAACAGCTGTACTTCAAGCAATCAAGATCTCTGAACTCATCGTGAAGCTATACAAGTGCCGCTGCGTGTAAGAGAAGCTTTTATTTTTAAGCCGCGTGATAAGCAGATCCCGGGTACGCGCCAGCCTACCGAGGACAACCACCATCGCTAGATTCCCACCACCCTCCCAGAAGAAGGTCATGAGTCTATTTCTCTGCCTCTGCGCCTATTGCAGGTGATTGGTGCAAAACATCGCCCGCATCGACGAGCCCCTCACCAACCTTAGTTAAAGTGGTAAATGCCACAGGAGGAACCATTTCAAGAACTAAAACGACACCTGCAGACGCCTCCGCTAAAGCCTATTTTGATCAATTCCCCGAAACAGAAATACACTTAGACGCAAGCAGTGTAGTATTCGGCGCCGTTCTTCTGCAGAGAACTGAGAGACAAGAAAAGGTCATGAGTCGTGTTAGCCAGTCGGGACTGGCTAATACGACTGCTAGCCACTCCTGTTAGCCAGTATCCAAGGTGTTAGCGAACATGAGAACTGTACTCATTTAATTTGTTATTGTACTTTCCTGATTGTGCTTGTTTTTTACTGTACTTTATTGCCTTGCTGTTATTTATTGTTGCATGCATCCCCCCCGTTCCGTGCTTTAGGCGTCAGGACGATGCTTTTTCAGAGGGGGGCATTGCCACGTACATTCCTTTTCGCTCTGCCCCGCCGCGGTGGTTTAGTGGCTAAGGTGCTCGGATGATGACCCGCAGCTCGCGGGATCAAATCCCAGATGCGGTGGCTGTATTTCCGATGGAGGCGGAATCGTTGTAGGCCCATGTGCTCATATTTGAGTGCACGTTAAAGAACCCCAGGTGGTAAAAATTTTTGGAGCCCTCCACTACGGCATCTCTCATAATCATATGGTGGTTTTGGGACGTTAAACCTTACATATCAATCAATCAATTCTTTTCGCTCTTGCCGCATTCGGCTTACGCCCACACAAACTGTCCGCTGCGGTGAGCGCAAACTGCGACTAAGTGTTCTACAAGTGCCACCGTCGTAGTGCATAGTGCTGCCAAGAATACGAACATAGCGTGAAAATTGCAGATCCTTCTTGAACTTAGTGGCTGCTAGCGATAAAGCTGGAATACTTGAAGGAACATTCATAAATGCCGATGCGCATCACTGCTTGCAAGTGGTTTCCTTCCGCTGCTATCTTTATTGGTGTTAGGTCAGCGCTAATGTTTGCCCACAAACGTGTAGAAGAGGAGACAATAAGTGGCGGTTATGTTGACTTTGATATATCGTCATGCTTGCTGCTCGAAAGCGCAACAATGGCAAGTGGCTTAACGTCGATCGCGGAAGTGACTGTTGAACCACGGGGTGTACCAGTAAATATTTGGGGATTCAATTTAAAGTGGTGAGGTAGCCAGACCCATCGGAGAAGCGAATAAGCCCGGGTGTGAATACAATGCGTCTACGTAGGGTATTGTCGTGAGGTACAATAAATACGTCGCCATCCACAATCTTGCTGGAATTAACGCTTATGACCTTTTCATTGGATGGTTGAAGTACATTAGCTGACATGGTGGCCAGACAGATGCGCCCTTGGTGTTCAAACGATGAAGATTCAGTGGCATTCAGATGTAGAAGGTGCTGATGACAAGTTATGAAAGCGGACGCAGAGGACAAGAAATGCGACCCCAAAACGAGCTCGTAGGTGCACTCATTAAATACCGCAAAGACGATGTGTGAACGAATGCCTTCTATGCAGATAGAAACGGCACACTGCGTGCGTGGACGAATGATAGTGTTGGTCGCCGCACAGAGATGTGGGCCGCAGTAAAGCGTGGTCATTTTTCGAAGGCGGGAACAAAGATCACTGGCAGCACCAGTATCTACAAGAGCCTCAAAATGTACACCTTCTACAACCACTACTACCAAGTTCGATGGATGATGTGACGAAATCGTCAGCTGTCGGGAGGATGCAGTTTCCCCTCTTAAAACTGCATCGGCGAGTTTTGCGAGTCGGCGTTCGAGAAATGGGAGGCAAATCGCAGAGGCAACACAGAACGGTGGCCTGGAAAAGGTTTCCTGCAGCGAGAACCGTGTGAATTAAGCATGTAAGTATGGCATAAAGTAGAGGTTTAACGGGGATAGAAAGAGTGGTAGGGTGGTCGTTGGCAGGTCATGTTCGGACCGAAATCCTGGATGTTGCTTGAGAGCGTAGGCCCCTTTCTCGTCCTGTTGACACCTTCAACAAACCGGGCTATGTGCCCCCAGTAGCAACAGTAATAACAATGCCTGCTGAGGCTTACCACATGGCGAAGAGTGTTGGCATTTGCGTTAGCCAGCCATCTGTTTCTTTATCTGAACAGGAGATTGGTTTCATTGATCGGATGTAATCTTGCGTAGCACTTGATTTTCTGTGTACACATGTATATATATGCTTTCTTTCAAATAAAACTTTCAGTTGTTAGACCAGCGCTTGTCCTGATTCCTTCTCTTGTGTGTTTCCTTTTGTGCGCTGCCCACTATGGATAAGTTCCAACTCGCCCGCCTTTCGGTGCTACAACAGTAATAACAACTAGGTCGAGAAAGGCGCTGAGAGGTGTAGTAAAGCAGTGCACGCGCAGGCAGTCACAGCCAAAGGTGCATGGTCTCATGGTGTAAGCACAGGAACGGTGGTTGCTGCAGAGAGTGCCCCGACTTTGACATAGGTTGTCATCTGGCGCACGCAGGGATCGTTTGAACACGTCGTGCGCGATGCGGACGTATTAGCCTAGTGTTGTCTTGCAAGCCATTTTGCACAAAAATAAAAGTAATTTCTGCAACATGGGAAGAGCAGCGCCACTGAAGGTATTCATGAACGATGTCGTGAATAAACGCACGTAAGATGAAGGCAACAGGCAGACAAATCTCGTTAACATCGTAGCAGAGGCGAAGATGCTAAAGCTCATCAAGTCGCTGACAAGTGGTTATCATGTCCTCGGTGGTAGTAGGATTTTGCTTGGCGATGCTGCTAAACGCAGCTGTGTTGATGCCTTTAATAATGTTGCACCTACACTAGCTATGAGGATACGGTTTATTCAGCAATGCTGGAGCTAAATAGCATTGATGATATGTACAGATGACGAAGCTACAGCCACGGCTACATTTGTGTAAAGCGCCCGAGAAGCTGGTTTTCACTCCGCGGGGCGCAACGTAGCGGAAGTTTCGGGCTCTGATGTAGTCAGCCTGACAGCTAGGCCGCACATGATTTTGATACAGCACTTCAGAGCCCGGAACTGCCTTGAGGTTTTGCCCCTCAGAGCGAAAACCACGTCATCGCGTGCTCTGCACAGACGTGGCCGTGGCTGTACAAGTGAAGATGTGTAAAGAGAATAAAGGGTGATTCGCTTGTCTCCCTCACAATATTAACAACTAAACTTAAAGCTGTCTTGACGAAGCAACCTCACGAGGTATTATTTGTTCACCATTTTCCTAGAGCTGCTAAGGATGATATTTGCAGCTCGCTTTTGCAAAACGGGTAACGAATTCTCTTGGCAACAACGCCACGAGTTTTAAATGGCACTTGGATTTTTAATATTGTGGGATGTTTATTTTTTAAACTTCATGCCAACAATTGTGGGCACTGGTAGTGAATAGCAGAGCCTGCATCTGTAACTTTTATGAGACTACACGTGACCACGCGAAAGATAGCTTCCCAACCCGCATGCAGTGAACGCCATCACACAACCTGAAAAAAGAAGCATACAGTGGTGCCATTCTGTCTACTGCATGCTCTCGTTTTTGCACTTTTCATTCTCTTAAGCACTTGTATGTATTTGTGGCAAACGAAGCTATGATGGCAGCAATCTATTCTTAGGGAAAGCACGCTATAGTTCACCGAGACGCCCGAGCAAAATATATATGTCGTGCACAAAGCGTGAAATGAAATACACATATTCATGACAGGAATGTTGCCAGGAGAGAAGACCCCACCCAGTCTTAACACACCAAACACTTCACTGCTTTGATGATTACCACTCTTTTTCGAACTGCCAAGTATGTTCAACTTAAAACAACATGCTTCAAAAGTAAGTCGAGCAAAAATGTTTGTGAATGTGTTAAACAGTTACCAGCAACTTGTAGCAAAAAAACTCCGCAGTGATGTCTTGAATCATAATATTTTAAAACCTTCGGCATTGGAGGCCACGGTCCTATCATGAAAAGATAAGAATGTAAAACACTCATGAGCTGAGTGTGATATATCTTACATGTCATAAACATTTATTTCCGCAGATCAGCGTAAATCTAGCTTACGTTACGAAACGAGAAAAACGTTGATTGGGTAAATCTGCTATATTTATTAAGCTAAACGCTATATTATCCTATATATAATAAGTTATAATTGGGTGATATGTCGGCACGAAAGCTAGAAAATGTCCTTTGCATGAAGGTTTCACTCTGTATAAGTTTCACCACGAATAAAACATAGCAAAGCAACTTTTTTTATTCATCATACCCAGCTTATGTTCTTCTTTTGGAAATGTACGCATGTATAAATGAAATAATGTTAACTCTTGCTTCTTTGAAGAGCCTCCCAGCAGTGTGAACGCTATCCGTACCTGAACAATCCTCGAAGGCTGTGCGAGCTGTACGACTGTATTTCATCATGAAAACTCCAAATTTCAAATAGTCAGGCAATGATTAACAAGGTTATCGTGAAAATAACACTATAGCTACAGCACAGTCGTAAAAAAGATAATAGATGTTTACTAGGTGGCAAAACTTTTATCGTAGCATGAACAGCAAGGTTACATCACGCTCTTTAATAAATTAAGAATGACAAGCTTTCATACTTTGGTTTAGCCTAGTTTTGGCGAAAGTGTTTTGTTTCCACAAACAAAACAAAAACGACTGCTGCGGATCAGCTAAGTCAGCGTAGCTGCCGCTGAGAGGGGACACTGACCAGCGACGAGCTGGGCGACCAGCTTTGGGCCATCCGGCAAGCTGAAAATGTCACGTGGCTTCAATGAGTTCAACGGCAATCTGAGGAACCACCACCATCATCAACGAAAAGTGGGCAGGGACAGGGGTTGATCTCGCTTTCCCCCGCCTGCCCCGCAGGAAACTCTTGAACTTTTAATGAAGTTTATTCATTGAAGTCTTATATATGTTTCCTGAGTAGCGTATATACTATAACACTAGTATCAGTATAACGAAAAAAAACTAGGCACGCGCGTCACCTATTTAGAAGAAGTCATTTATTTTTCTGAAACTACACTGCAAAATGAATAACCTGACCTGCAATTCAGACAACGGCACACAGTAGGCATGCCACTTTTTTATAACAGGTAGTCTGGCCTAACTGACAATGAAAGTTTGGGAAATATATTGTTATGTGTGTGGAAATACCTCTCCAGTGGAGCTGCTGAATGGCACTAAATGAAAGAAGACTGCAACGTTGGTATTGTGAGGCTACATCTGGGTTGCCCTGTTGGCTGGACTCTGCGCACCATGTGCACTGTGATCCCGCTCTCCTACGGACTAAAGAGCCCTCGACGACGCACACGGCTACCTTCATGGTGCCAAGTATTTTTCATCCCTAACTCTTTTATTCGTATACTGGAAAATTTCACTAGATGACCACGACCGCGAGAAGACAGCAATCATCACACTCGATGGCCTATACCATTTTAAGGTCATGGCGTTTGGGTTGTGTAATGCTCCAGCAACTTTCAAACGCATGATGGACTCGCTGCTACGCGGTTTTAAATGGTCAACTTGCTTTTGCTATCTGGATGACGTCATCGAGCTCTCGTGCGCGTTTGAAAGCCACCTCCCGCTTCTGTCGGCCATTCTTGACGTATTTCGTCGTGCTGGCCTCCAGCTGAATTCTTCTCAGTGCAGTTTCGGGCGCCGTAAAATTTAGCTACTTGGCCACCTTTTCGATCCTACTAGAGTCCAACCCGACCCCGATGAAATCTCCACTGTTCGTCAGTTCTCCGTCTCGCGTTCTACAAAAGAGGTCCTCAGCTTCTTGGAGCTCTGCTCATACTTTCACCGCATTGTCGCCAATGTTGCAGATATTGCTTAACCCTTCACGGATCTCCTCAAAAATGGCGTGGATTTTTCTTGGTCTGCGGGAAAAGCACATTATTTAGCATCAATATTTTCAGCTCTCACTTCACCACCAGCGCTGGCCCACTTTTACCACTCTTCCCGAGCAGAACTTTGCACTGACGCAAGCGGCCATGGCATTAGGGCTATACTTGTTCAAGTACAGAGTGGTACAAGCCGAGTGATGATATATGCCAGCTGACTTCTCTCACAGTCTGAAAGGAATTTTTCCATTACCAAGCGGGAATGTTTAGCTCTCGTCTGAGTCGTCACGAAATTTTGTCCGTACCTCTAGGTGCGCCCGTTCGCGGTCATCACAGATCATCATGCGCTGTGCTGGCTGTCAACACTGAAGGACTCTGCTGGAAGACTCGGTCGTTGGGTAGTACGGCTGACCGAGTGCACGTTCTTGGTGGTGTGCAAATCTAGAGAGTTGCACAGCGATGCTGACTGTTTACCCCATGACCCAGTTGAACCGCTCGACTCCACTGAACCTCACACATGTATTTATGTCATCATAGACTTTCTGCACAATGAACAACGGCGAGAACCATCACTACTCCTTATCAGTGACCACCTTCAAGCCGGCAATTTCCACCCTTCGCTCAGCATTTCTTGCTGCAAGACAACGTTCTGTATCACCATACTTTAGACCCTGAGGGCGCGAAACTTTTCCCCGTCGCCCCACATCATCTGCGCAAAAACGTCCTTTAGGAACTCCACGATACCCCAACCTCAGGACACTTAGGCGTTACCCGCACATACGGCCGTGTTCGACGACGGTTTTTTTTTTCTGAAAGGCATGTACCACTTTGTTCACCGCTACGTTGCAGCTTGCGAGCTCTGCCAAAGCCGAAAGAAACCTATGACTTTCTGTGCCGGTCACTTCCTGCTTATCAAAGTCCCAGCTAGTAGGCTCTTTCATCGATTAGTATTGAACTTTCTTAGTCCTTTTCCAACTTCGGCAATTGGAAACAAATGGGTGGCAGTAGCCACAGATCATGCCACGCGGTATACAATCATTTCAGTGCTACCGGCCACTTGCGCGACCGATGTGGCCAATGTTCTTCTATACGACGTCATTTTTTAGCATGGTGCTCCTTCTCGCCTACTCACAGACAAAGGTCGCTGCTTCCTCTTTCGAGTGGTAGACGACCTACTGTGATCTTGTGCTACTCGTCATAACTTAAGCACAATTTATCTTCCCCAGACCAACAATCTGACCGAACGATTCAACCATACACTGACAGACATACTCTCTATGTACGTTAGCGGCAACCACACCGACTGGGACATTGCCCTCACATTCGTCACCTTTGTCTATATTCATCGCGCCACGAAACTGCCGCCTGCTCACTCTTTTGTCTTCTCTTTGGGTGGGATTATTTGTTACCATTTGATACTCTGCTTTCATTTGACCCACATTGCGAACTTCATACGCTAAAGATGCGATCACCCGAGTTCTCAACACATGCACGGTAGCCTGCACTCAGCTCTCACTGTCCCAGGCTACACAAAAGACCCTGTATGATGGCTGAGACAGGAACGCTGATTTTCCTCCTGTGCCACTATAGCTTTTATCTCATCGCATTTGCCTCAGCGAGAAGCTTCTATTGTGATACGTTGGGCCCTACGAAGTAGAGCGTGAGGTGACACTTGTCGCTTTTGAGATTTCTCTGACAACCAAATCAGCGAAATCGTCAACTACTACTCTTAGAACCGACATAGCGCACGTCTCTCGCCTGAAAGCTTACAGTGTTGACCCGCCCCTTTAGTCATAGGTGGCACCAAGGCGGTGCTCTAAAGGCCGGGGTAATGTCAGGGCTGTCGAAATACCTCTCCAGGGAAGCCGCTGAAATGCGACTGAATGAAACACGACAGCGACGTTGATCGTGTGGGGCTCAGTAAAGGTTGCCATGTTGAATGGTATTCTGTGCGCCCTCCGCACTGTTATCCCGCTATCCTATGGACTCATGACCCTTAAATAAATACTACCCATAAGAAAATCTTGTGCTGCACCACAATATGACGCGCCTAGTGCCTCAGGCCGGAACGATGATGAACGAGCAGCAAGCAAACCCGCTCTTTAGGGCTCCATACTCATTCTTAAATTTAGCCCATGCACAGGAATGGAACATACTTTATACCACAGCACGCCTATCTCGCACCCAGGTGCCTAGACGGCCAGCGCATACTCTCACACGCAGACGGCCCTCTTGTATCAAACTGCCATAACTGTGCCGCAAAGTTAACGTGACAATTGACGTCTCTTGTGCTTTACGCGTAAAAAAATTGCTCGATCCCACTTACAGTGTGAATCGACGATATGCGAAACACGAATGAGGACGGTCGATTTGTCGCTTCAATTCAATTTTGCACAACGTTACGAGCGGAAGTTAGTTGTTTCCTACTTGACTCCCATGTCACGATTATGATGTTTGCGCCTACCATTTGTGCTCGTCATTCATTCACGTCACGTAATATAAATGTTCGTATTTAGCTAGCGAAACGGCCGCAAGCACGATATGAGCGTACCATGTAGTTATGTTTTATGTGACACGCATGTAGTTATCATGTTTGGACGTGTCATTTCTTTTCGTCGTCTCTAAAGGTCACGTAATATCAAAATTTGTATATGTGTAGCCAGTGAAATGGCCGCGAGAGCATTATGAGCACAGCATGTAGTCATGCTTTACATGACAGGCATGTTATAATTGTCATGTTTGCACCAGTCATATGCCTTCGTAATTCACTAACGTCTTACATAATTCCCAATTCAGTGTATGTGAAGCTAGCGGAATAACCTCGGGCGCATCATGAGCTTGTCATGTAGTCATGTTCTTACATGACACCCATGCATCGATTTCTACGTGATGGCCTGTCACTTGTGTTCACCCTGCAGTCATGTCATACCATACCAGTTTTGTGATATGTCATATGAAGGAAATCACCGCAGGAACAGCAAGACCACGACATGCAAATCAAAGCATTCATGACATACATGCTATGATTTTCATCTCATGACTAGTCATGCTAGTCATGGAGTCTTGTTATGCCATACTAATTTCAGTATAAATCCTTGTATGCAAAAACGACC